CACTACACCGCAGGTGTGTGACAACAGCCCTGCCTTGGTGAGCTTTCAGACTGGGGAGGGTACCACACCCAGGGACGGAGGAGACTCCATTTACAGTGTGCAGTGTTCTCTCCTTGTATATTATTCCTTCATTTACTCTATACAACAGTCCTCAAGAGTTGACAGGAGAGCAGTTGAATCATTCAAGACTGACAGCGACCTTCTACCATGAAATGTGCATGAAGACATGGGATAAATATACAATGTGACTTCACAGGAGCGAAAATCATCTAAGAGCCATTTGGGACAACTAAGTGCCACCAAGTGCATAACTGGGATCCTAAAAGGAGGGAAGGAGGAAATAGGGCTCCGAACCTCTATTTGGGGCAAGAGGTGATGACTTGATGAGGTGGGTCTCTTGGCTGGGCTGGTGATGTGTGAGCTGAGAACTGTATGAAAAGAAGCCAGCCAGGGACATAAGCAAAAAGCATTTTTAGAAAAACAAACCCAGGTGTAAAAGGTATGGACATCCCTCAGGAACAGCACAAAGCTGAGGGCTGGATCATGGTGAGCAAGAGTGCAGCAGTGTGAGGTGTGGCTGGAGGCAGAGGCAGGAAGGGCCTTGGCTCATCAGGGCGGGAAGAGTGGTGATCATCCGGTACCATCTGCATCCCTGCACTTCTCATCCTTCAGTCAGCAGAGCTGAGGTTGATTACGTGCACCCGTGTGTCTAGTTCTTGTCAATGGACTGTGGCCACTTCCGGGCCGAGGAAGAGGAGAGCTGGCACTGGAATTTGGGCTACTGTTTCTTTGCCACGGCAGCCCCCGAGGCTCCGCTTGGCTCAGCCACTGAGTCATACCTTGAAGCACAGCTTCTCTTATAAGTCACACAGACTCTGGTGGACTTGGAATAAAAGAGAAATAAGGCTTGGTGCTATTAACTAAGCCAACCCTGACTAATACCGCATGGCAAGAAGTTCAGATTTTATTCTAAGTCTAACAGGAAATCACTTGAAATTTTCAGCTAGACAGCGATGAGATGTGATATGTGTTCATTTATTTATTTTCCTTGTGGTAAAAAGATTCAGATTCCCACAAGTTTAAATGAGCACTTTGCCATGCGTAGAATTGATTGCAGGGATAAAGGACTGGAGAAAGCTGGTGGCCGGCCACAGGTCTGTCACGGGTGATACGGATATGGAGTACGCTGGCTTGAACTCGGGGGTGGGGGGGCGGCAGCGCAGAGTGTGCACTGAGCTCAGGATCTATCTTGAAGACAGAACTGTCAGGACTGATGAAGACTCCAGGGTTTGGGGCATGAGCAACTGGGGGAGGAACAAGATGTGGTGAGCAGGGGTAAGGCAAGTGCGGTGGGATTCAGAAATTATGAGAAAAAGTGATTGGGAGGAGGAGGAGGAGGAAGCAGAGAAAGAGAGAGAGAGGCATAAAGCCAGTATAACCTTGACACCCAAGATGACAATTATTACAAGATACATAGATGCAGGAGGGGCCGGGGATTTAGCTCAGTGGCAAAGCTCCTGCCTGGCAAGCGCAAGGTCGTGAGTTCGGTTCCCGGTACCAGAGAAAAAACAGAAAAAAACAAAACAAAACAAAAAAAATACATAGATGCAAAACTCCTAAACAAAATATTTTCAAATAAAGTCCAAAAACACGTAAAAAGAAATTACATCATTAAGCTGGGTTTATTCCAGGTAAAAACTGGTTTTGTTCTAGGAGTACAAAGGCTTTTAAAAAACATTTATGAGTCTACTCGCATAATTCATAACATTTACAGAACAAAGGAGAAAAATAATTTTGATGAATGCAGAAAATAACTTGATAAAGTGAAATATTCACTCATAATTTTTAAATTAACAAGTTAGGAATAAAATGAAACTTCTTTAATCTGATAAAATTAGTCTAAAAACCTGACGCCACATATCATATAAATGATGAAATACTGAAAATGTTTTCCTAGTGGTCAGGCATAGGGGAAAGTGTCTTCTACCACTGTTGATATTCATTCCCAAGTTGCAGGTGTTACCCGGTGAAACAAGCAACCAGAGGAGAAGAAAGGAGGAGGAAGTTATAGTTTGAAAAGAAAGAAATAACTATGAATTAATGATTAGAATTGAAATAAATTAATTTATCAAGATCACAGAATGCAAGTGGAAGGCCGAAAAATTAATTGTATTATACATAGCAATAAAAATTTAGCAATAAATTAAATGACAGCATTTATAATCCTGTCAAATTTATCAAATACCTAGAATTAAGTATTTTTTAAAACTGCATGAAATGTTATTAAAACAAAATTAAGGCCAAAATAAATGAAGTATTAAGCCTATGTTCATAGACAGAAAAATCAGTATTAAAAGATATCAAAATTCTTTACCAATTTGATCCACAGTGCAAATACAATTCTAGTAAAAATTCCAACAGAGCTTGGCATGGTGGTGTACACCTGTAATCCCAGCACTCTGGAAGGCTAAAGAAGGAAGATCACAAGCTCAAGCTCAGCCCGGAGCAACTTAATGATTTAGTGAGGTTCTGTACTAAACTAAAAAATATTTTAAAAGGATAAGGATGTAGGTCAGTGCAAATGCCCTGGGGTCAATCCCTAGTACAGGAAGAAAAAATCCTAGTGAGTTTTTTTTAGTCAAAATTGACAAGTTGACTCTAAAATTCATAGGGAAATACAAAGGGAGACACCAAGACTAAACAAGGCTTGAAAAGGAAAAATGTTTGAAGATGTCAAAATCCATTAAAAAGCTATAATAATTATAAGTTGGTATTGTCAAAGGACAGAAAAATAGACCAATGGAACAGAAGATCCAGAAACGGACCTCCAGATATAAGGACGTCTGATTTCTGACAAAGGGAACACTGGACACTAGCGGGGTAGAATAGTCACCTTAATACACACTGCTCAGTCACTGGAATCCACATGGAAAGTTAGGAATCTTGATTGTTGCTTCATAATAGACATATAGACAGATGTACATAAGAAACTAGAAAAGATGCTTTTCAATAGAAGGTGTCCACATGACATAAAAATGAAAGAAAAGGAAGGACAGGTGCCCAACCTTATTCTTCATCAGGGAGGTGAACATTAAAATCACAGTGACATTGTGCTAACTATGCCCAAATGGCTGAGATGCAAATACACACGACGGTGACAGTTGGAGAGAATGGGAGCAGCTGGGGCTCTTTCTCATTAACATCATTCATGACTCATGGGAGTGGAGATGGGTATAATGTCTTATGAAAACTGTTTGGCTATATTTACTATAGTTTTATATACATATATATAAAACTATAGCAAATATACATATATAGTGTTATTTATATAAAACTAATATATATATTATATATATATATATGTATATATATATATATATATATATATAGTCTGAGAAATTCCACACCCAGGCATATACTCAAGAACTATATACATAGGCATGTCCACGCATACACACAAGGATGTTGCAGCAGTATTATTTGTAATTACCCCAAGCTAGAAACTACCCAAATATCCAGCAATAGTAGACCAGATAAATGAAGTGGGGTGGTATAGTCATAGAATGGAATACTATACAGCAACAAAAAATAAACAAACTATTGTGATAGAGATGGGAAGAGAGGGGAAGTTTCCCCAGCAGTCCCACCCCTCTGCCGTGTGAGTCTTGCCAGGATAGGCTCAGACAGGTGAGTGAAGAGGCTCTGAGGCGATTCCAGCTCCAGCCAGAGCTGAGTGAGAAGCAGCACAAAAAGCCCTAAATGAGGGCCACCTCGCAGAACCCAGGCGAGTTCCCTCATTCATGAGCAAAAGGAACTGTTGGGGCCATTTTAAATCATGACCACAGGGATAAGCACTGCGCAGCAATAGACAAGCAGAACATATGCTGATGTATTTAGGGAAAAAAGAGAATATATTAAATTTATAAATCTACTTTTCAGTGTTTAAAGAAACCTAATTGAGTTAGTAAAAATCCCTCTAAAAACTATTTTCTAATACCAGGTTCATAAGGAGAACAATATATTTTTATGTTGAATGTGAAAGTCTAAAGGAAAATTAGGTTCTTGAAATGTTTGCTTCTGTAAATTGAATCTCACTAGAAAAGTAAAAATGAACCACAGGGAAAACCTGTGGACAAAGAAACAACACAGGGAAAGGAGGAGGGTGATTTATTGAGTGCCTCACAGGTGCCATGCCACGTCTAGGTGCTTCATCTAAAATCAACTCATTTGATCCTCACAAGAGCCCTGTGAGTGGGCTTTCTAATCCACTGACGGAGAGGATGAGGCTCCCAGAAGGTGCACAAGTTGCCGCGGTCCTCAGCTGGGCAAGAACAGTGTCTGGGGCTTGCCCTGGAACAAGGAACTCACTCCTGAGGGTGAGTTCTGCTGCATCCCTCAGCAGTTGCAGTGTGGGCACCTCGTGTCCACGCCTGCCTCGCCCGAGAGTCTTCCAGTGGTGGGGAGGTGAGCACACGAGTGACCGTCCTGTGAACACTCAAGAGAGCTGTCCTGGCCACACAGAAGACCGCCCCGGGATCCTTAGAGCTCTGGAGTGTGGACTGGAGCCAAAGGGGCCCTGATCCTGGCCGTAGTTCGAAAGGAGGTCTGAAGTGGAGTTCCAGAAGCTGTGGAAGGAAAAAGAGAAAGGATTTCAGTGCTGTGGCTGCAGACAGCCTGCCCAACTTCACGGGCCCTCTCGTGTTTCTGCTCCCTACTGACTCCCAGTGATGACCGTGCCGAAGGCCTGACAGTAGGGGCGGTGGTGCTTCTGAACACTTTCATCCTAGAATATCGGAGAGAGTCAGTTTTGAGGTTACCTGGTCTCCTCACCTCTTTGATAGGTGAGGAGACCAAGACATCTCCTTTTGCTGCTTCCTATGAACAATGGATAGAGTTTGAGAATAGAATGGATGAGAATGGATGAGTTTGAGAAAAAAACAAAGCCAGGCCTGGTGACACATGCTACAATCCTGGCACTTGGGGGCTGAGGCAGGAGCATCACAAGTTCGAGGCCAGCCTGGACTACATCACCCCATCTCAAAGAACCAAAAGAAGAAGAAGAAGAAGTCTATACTGAGATATGGTAAGACTTGTAAGACTGCTGTCTTCTATTTTTAGGAAAATGAAGTCTGAACAACAAAAGCGGAGGGACCTGGGAGCTGCGGGGTTGTGGGGCACCCCAGGCTACACGAGGAGCAGCTGCTGGTCTCCCGGCTGATGCAGGAGGCCCCTGGCAGGTGGAGGTAGCAGGTGGCCTCGGGACCACCTGGGAGTCTTTCCAGAGGTTCCACAAGGGAAGGGTTGTTCACCGCAGTGCCAGCCACCAAGGCACTTTGCAGACCTTTCTGAGGGAAAGAATATGAAAACGGTGTGACTGAGAACTGTCTCCTCCGGAAGACACCCAGGAGAACAGGGTGCAGCCAGGGAGCTGAGGAGACAGGTTCTCTTCTGGCCTCCACATCTTGGTGGATCCTTTCGTCAGGGGACTCTGCCTGCTGCCACCTCCCCTGGAAAGCCAGACTGGGAGAAATGAGGAGAATCTTGTGTCTCTGACAGAGCACAAAATGGGGCCAGGGAGACTCCTGAACAGCTGTGCACACCACAGTTTTAATCTTCACTACGTACTTGACTCGTGCTTACACCTTACAGACTGCCTTTATCTCGGTACCCCTCCCAGCAACCCAGGGAGGTGGACAGAGGTCAATCAGCTCCCAAAAGCGGTCAGTGGCAGGACTGGGGCCCCAGCTGGTAGAACTGCAGAGGTGCAGGGCGGCGGAGTTAGAAGCAGCAGTCAGAGCAATGCTCTAAGGCAGTGATGTGAACCTTCAGAACCTTACAGACCAGAGCCCAAACTGCAACTCAAACCCACTTATTTACTGCAAAGTGCCAGCCCTGCAATTAAACCCGAACACAAAAGCCTTAGTTTAGAAAAAACAACTCATACATTAATATCTTTTATCTTAAAAGAAAAACAAATGACAGGTGTGCCACAGGTTCGCCACCACTGATCTAAGGTATCCTTCTCCCAGGGCTTTAATCACATAAAGTCTCAAAAAGATTTCTTCTGGTCCCTGCTTAACCTCTCCCAGTGACAAGTCACCTACTGCTCCACGAATGTCACTACTAACACTGAGCTGAGATCCTTCTCTTCCGCACTTTCAGTCTTTAATTCAATTTCTGCCCCTAAGTTAAGTCAAATTCTATTCCAATTTTTAAAAAGTTTGAAGATGCTGTACTTTCTCTTTCCTTGCAGATTAAACGTGTTCAACTCCTTCGACTGTTTCTCACGAGGCTACAGAGCACATTGCCTGAAATACAGACTAGACAGTGAGCAAACGTCGAGTTGGTTCTCTGGCCCTTGATAGTATGCCCTGGTCTGGCCCGCCTTCCTCGAGCCACAGTTTGTCTCCATTTAGTAATGAGTTTATCATTCACTTATTTAAATAATAAACAGAAAATGTGGTTTACCACGCCAACCACAGAGTTTTCAGACAACAGGAAAAAAAAAATAATGACAACTGGCCAAATGGCGAGCAGATTCCAATTTAGTCTGAGATAATGGATCATTTATCTAACTGAGCTGACCACCTCAGAAATGCATTTCAGTATGGGTCCCCCAGTGACCAAGCATTTCCTAGAAGTAAGACACAGAATGAAACCCCGGGGAGGCCGCCCACAGAATTAAGTTGAAAAATCCCAGTGAAGTGTGGATAATGAGGATCTGTGAGAGACGCCACACGGATACATCACCCTGCAGCACTGCTTCACTTGTTACGAGAAGCAGTTTCCATTTTCAGCTCAGTTTTGGGTGTCACCGGGAGAAAATAATGTATTATCTTCAGAAAAGTGCTCCAGTGGAAGCTCTGACTATTTATTTTTAGATGTTCTTAAATTGGATTGGTGTGAGGGGCGAGCACTGGTGTCCACAGGGTTAGGCCGGGCCGCTCCTAACAACGCAGAGTCCAGCCAGCTGCGTGCCTCTTACGTAAGTGCTGCGCTGGCACAAACAGCAATGAGTTTAAACTTCTGGTAGTCAAGGAGCCGGGAAACAGACAATGAATGGTGTCCTACCTTATAAAGGAAATAAAAATAAATTGCTACCAATCAGTTTGTAAGGGAATATGCTTATTCTTTATAGTAATAACCCTATAAGGAGTTTGATGGCAAATAAGTCAAGCGAAATATCCAAAAAACACAATTTCACAAGATCTTGAATTGAAGTCCCATTATTGCACTCTAAATTGATGAAATTTGGGCAATTTGGTCATGTTTTCAAATAGTTCTATGGTTTGAAAAGTAAGCAGTATATTTTTCTTTTCTATTACTTAGACAAACATAAAACACCTACTATTGCAAAAGCTAGTACTTTATATATTGCAAGTGCCACTACTTTAGAGAACAATGCATGAGGAGTCTTATCATCTCAAGTTTCAGAAAAGGCTGAATTTAGAAAGAGGCATTTCATAGGATATTATTAATGATTGAGCACTTGTGATTATTAATGATTGAGGCCTTGCACACACAGTGTCTATAGGTCACGTAGCAGCAGATATAGTCTTCACAGTACAGAATAACAGGATCTTCTAGCCCAGCAGAGTCTCTCACCCCCAGCCAGGCAAACAGTCCCGAGTCACAGAGAAATGGTAGTGAAATGTAGCAGAGAGTTCCTGCTGAGAGACACACAGATGCCCTGGGGTTTGTGTCCATCGCCCAGGGACTGAAGCTCCTCCTCCCCTCATCTGAAAAGCTCACCCTTTGTCTGCTCACATCAATCCAAAGGGCTCCTGGGGACAGCTGGCCCCAGCAACTCAACAGAGAAACTGAGATTCAGTGAGGTTGTATGGTTTGCAAAAAGTCACAGGTTTGGTTTATAGCACATCCAGACCTGCTACAAAGAATAGCAAGTAGAAGCCAGGACCTTGAATTCACAGTCCTGGGGTCCTTGGTTTACCATGTTGCTGCCACCTGAGGACTGGAAAACATTCCTAAAGTTGGGAATTTTTACTCCTTCACTCGAGTAGTTCTCTTGATAGAGAAAAGTTAGTGATCTTGGAGGTGCTGGGATTAAAAAATTAAGAAGAGGGTATGAGGTAGTTTGAGAGAAAGAATAATATAGCAAGACCACAAAATAGGCAAAAGGAAAAGAAGGCACCAGGAATGCTAAATATATGAGCAATAAAATAGGAAAAGACAGAGTCCCAATGAAGTGTGAGAAAAGATCTGGGAAGAAGAAGAGGGACACTTAAGAGCAGAAAACAGAGGCAGCTAAGGACTAGGCAGAAGTCAGAGAAAAGAAAGAAAATAAGTAGAACCAGTAAAAGAGAAGACAAGGAAGGATGCCATGAGACAGCAGAGAGCCCGTGCTGTTGAGGGAGGGTACACGTAGGTCCACACGTTGGACAGAGTGAGGGATCCAGGGGCATCACAGGCTGGCAACCAGGATGACAGGCGGGGAGGGCCGGGAGGGCAGGCAGTGCAAGTAGACGGTGCCAGCACTGTGATCACAGGGCTTAGTGAATCCCTGTTATCCCAGAATGAGCTCAGTGGTGGTTCTCAGGATCCCCATACCGTAAGAGATGACAAACTCCCTCCTCTTATCTACAAGGTCAAATAGCTCTCCTCTTATCCTTCACCATCTATGTAAGCTGCTTTTGGAACTATACATACATCTGCTCATTCACTTTGTAAAGCCTGGAGGCCTTCCTCCCTGGGCTAGTTTCTCAAGAAATCTGTTGGTTCTTTCCAAAGATGGCTGGGCTTCTTAGTACTCCTTCACTTAAAACGCCTCCCAAATGGAAGACGGTGGGATTTTCCTCAGGAAAAGGCGGGCCTCCACCATGGCTGGGTAGAGTCCCAGAGGAGAATGTCACAGCACTGGGAGGGCAGCCAAGGGAAACATGAAAGCAATTTCCCAGAACTGAGGCCTTTCCTGTCCACACTCCCATGGGGGAAATCCTGTGCACAGCGTCAGGCACTCCCAAATTCATGCCCAGCCCACCCTCAAATGTGTGGGCACTTGGGAAAAGCCAGGGATCCATCCAGTCATAATGGCATTTAATCAGAGCAGCCTCCAATCCGCTGCCCGAGTGACCAACACCTCCATGAGCCTATTACAAAATATGTGATGTTAACAGCTTCCTCCTTCGTCTGGGCTAACAACTGCTTTCCAGAACCACTCTACGCCAGAAAGACAATCAGTGGGAAGTAGAACCACACTAGCATTTTTTTTTTTGCCTTTAGGCCACAAATAAAACCCCATTTAACCCCAGTGGAGGCCTTAGCTATTAGCACAACTTGGCAAAAGAATTTAGCAATCTGCCTGCCTGCTCAAAATGCCTACCAGCCCACTTTCCAAATGCAATCGGGGTTAATAATGAATGAGTTTTAAAAATCCCTTCATGCCTTGCATGCACCCGGAGTGAGTTGCTGTCTACGAGGCTGGATTAATGCCGCATTCTGTGAGCTGCTAGGAGGAAATGCCCTGTAAAACAGTGCTTTTGCCCTTACAAGCTGAGCCAAGGCCAGGTGCCAGCAGGAAGGTGCACAGCCGCCCTGTCCGTACTTACGTGGGTCCTGAGCCGGTGACCGTGCCCAAGTTAGTTCTGCCCTCACCTCATGTATTCCCCATCACTCCTATAATCCATAAACGACTCTGATCCTGACACCTCCTCAAAATCCTCCAGCACCAGACTGGTGGAGTCCTCACCCAGGACGCTGCTGTCAGGCCTGGACATCCGGGCCCGGGACAGAGGTGCAGGAGGGTTGGTGACAGCTGGATGGGGAGAACAAGGTGGGGGTTGCTGGACAGAGGTGGGCACCACTGGAGCAGGAGACCTGGCTGGTGCGAAGCCTTCCTCCTCGTCTTTCTCGGACTCTGGCCCCCCTTCCGAGGCAGAAGGACCTAGCACGTGGTACAGGCTGGGGAGGCGGATGTCGAAGCGCAGTCCAAACTTAGCAAAGAGCTTCTCGTTGAGTGTGTAGAGCTTCTCGGAGATGTCATAGCCCAGCAGGACTGCGAAGAGGCGGGAGGTGTATCGTTCTTTGGTCAGAAGATGGTGGAGACTTTTCCGGGGCCAGGAAATGTAGCTACATTCAGTCTCGGCAGTTAGAGTGACCTGAGGGGAGAAAATCAGGAGAAACAACAAGAGAAAATCAGGAGCACAGAGGCAAGGTTGCACTGGAGAGTGTGTCCAGGCTGAGCACAGAGAAACCTATGGCTTCTTGGCCAGCGGCTTCACTTTTACTGAAGTCCCCTCCATGCCTTGCCTGGAGGCAACCCAAGCACTGACTTCTGCGTGCACCCAGCTGGGAGGTGTCCATCTTAGGAGCCCTGGGGTCAGCCACTCACTCACTTGCCTACTACCTCCTGCAGCTCAGTCTCCATGTCCAGTGTCCCCACCCCTCATGGCCTGCAGCTCCATGGCTGACACCAGAAATGGCCGCAGAAGGTTCTGAGTCATGTGACGAAGGGTAGGGGCTGGGGGTCCTGTGCTCTAAAGAGAGGTCAAAATGCAGGTGACCACTCACTTTTAAGAATAAAGAACCATAATCTATTGGGGTAGAGCTGGGGAAAAGTTCCATTAGAGAGGAGGCTTCTGATAAGTACGTCAAGCTGCTTGTTATGGTTGGTGTCTCAGTGTCCCCTCAAAGACTCATGCAGTCATGGGGCGGGCTTCTAGAGTTTATGATTGATCCATGGTCCAATGCGGGGATTATGCGCGTGAGTGCTACACCAGCCCTGGGGCAGGTAGTTTGCATAAAATATAAGGGAGGAAAAGAGCCTTGCTCTCTGCCGCTCCTCCCTTTTTGCTTTTGTTGCTTTTGCTGTCTTCTGCCACCAACTGTTGCCCTGTGCCATATACCACTCTGGAGCCAGCTGAGTATGGACTGAAGCCTCCACAAACCGTGAGCTAAATAAACCTTTTTCTCTTTAATTTGAGTGTCAGGTATTTTGTCTCAGCAACAAGAGAAAATTAACCAAGACACTACTATTGACCACTATAAGTAACTAAAAAGATCTGATGACTAAATGAGGTAAATGTCACAAGGAAACAAACCCTTGAGTGACAGCCAAAGGCCCCTTTATTCATCTAGCAGTTTCTGAGCACTCACGGTGTGCCGATGACACAGGATTATATTAGGCAATAATATGTACCTGAAGTGCAGTGGATACTTAAAAAATCCTTGTTAAAACAATACCGAGTGGTAAAGCTGGGATTACAGTGAAACGTGTTAAGGACAGTACAGGAAAAGGGTACAGAACCTCATGATTTTTAACATAATTTAATCAACCCAATACTTTGGGTTGGCAGAGATTAGGATGGGTATTTGTGAATGACAGCAGCGAACATTTTCTGAGAGGTGACTATGCGCCAGGCACTGGTTAAGAACTTTATGTGGATTTTCAAAGCAAAGGTAGGCCTGACTTCCCACACATTCTGTTTTAGATCAGGTGCAAGCCTTTAAATTCCTGCCCCGCCTGGTAGGTCTCCCTTCCCTTTTCCTGTCCTCCATGTTTGGGGTGCCTCCCCTATATTTATTGTATTTATTAATCTGCCTCTTATAGCTTCTCCTGCTGAGGGTTCTCACTGTGGGCAGGACCCTAAATTACACTAACAAGGCCAGCAGTCTCAGCTTTACTTCTTTACAGATATGTGATATCAGATGGGTTACTTACTCTGTCCATGTTGCCTGTTGAGATAGAATTCTGAAAATAAGACTTAACAACAGCTCTGCAAGTAGTTATCACAGCATCGCCTGTACCTTAGTCGGTACTTAGAATTCCCAAACAAGAAATCAGGCTGACAAAGAACTAATCTCAGTGAAACCAGTCCGTTAAAGCCAAACACAAAGGTTGCAGGCACTCCTGTAGGAATGCATTTACTTCTTCTATTTAAAAAAACAAAATTAAAAAGAAATGAAAATATTTTACCTCACTTCCCTGGCTAACTACCACTTCACTAATTTGCTCCTCTTTTTAGCAAAACTCCTTGAACAAAAATTATCTCTGCTTACTGTCTCAAATCCCTCTGTCAAATCAATAAGGCTTTGCGCCTAGAAGTTCCCATGTGTGGAGCCCTCTGAAGGGGGGCATTCAGCACTCAGTTTGCACCTGACCCCTTGCCCCTTGACACACCTCCTGCTCTAGGTCCCCAGGTGCCATGCGCTGCAGGGGCAAATTTCCTGCTTTCTCCTTTTCAGATTCCTTCACGACTTCCTTTTTTTCTGTCCAACTGCTTAATTCTTGAAACGCCATTCTTGAATCCCTTCTCTCTCCACATGTTCAAGCATTTGTCTCAAGCCCAGACCTTGGTACTGAACTCCAGAGGGAAATATCCCACTGCCTACTCCGCATCTCCGTTTCACAGTCCCCAGGGGATGCGAACCTACGGTTCTCAAACTGAACTTCCATCCCCCAACCGGCTCTCAGGTGGCAGCAGCTCCATCCTTCCAGCGGCTCGGATCAGAGCCTCGGGCTTCCTCGATTCTTTCCTTCATATCCCACATCAAAGTCGCAGGGAAGCCTTGTTGCCCATATCTAGAAAATCAAGCTCTGCACCTTCCGTGATCGGGCTCCCCTTAGCTCTTCAGCGTCCTCCAGCGAATCTCTCTCCTCCCTTCCTCTGCTCCCTGTGTCCTGCCCCCTTTCTCATCCTTAACACACCAGTCCACCTCTCGGTCTGCACTCACACTCCCTCTGTCGGATATGCTCTTCCCCAGACACTGCAGCTCACACTGTCCCCTTTCAGGTCTTTGCTCAAATCTCACTGCTTCCCAAGCTCCTCCATGACCACCCTCATTACAGCTGCAACCATCTCTCCCTTATACTACTTTATGTTTTTGTAAACTAGCAGTTATTATCATGTAACATATTGCATAATTTATTCATTAATTTTGTGTATAGATTACTTTTCATGTCTCTCACTAGAATGCAAATTGCATAAGGGCAGGAACCTCCATTGGTTCTGTTCCCTGATATATTCCAAGCACCCTGAACAGTGAGTGCTTGGATATAGCAATCATTGTTAAATTCCTGCCATCTTGTTTAATGAAGCTCTGTATCATTTCTAATTTTTCTTTTACTTGTTATTGTCTTTAACAATGGTTTGATCAATCTTGCATTCTTACATCTGGGGAACTCAGCATCTTCACTGAAGATAACAATTTGTAATATAACAATCACTGTTAACTCCTGTCATCTTGTTTTGAAATCCTATATTGTTTTTATTGTTTTTGTGTTGTCCTGTTTTTGTCTTCAATGGTGTTATTTTTTTCTCTTTAAAATAAAAAAAAAAATAAGTGCTCAATAAACATTACTGAACTGAATGAATGAATCAAGTGAAGACTACCAATCCTGTATAGGGCAAAACAACTGAATGTCACTTTCTCATGTCCTGCGTTAAAGCTTCACAAAGGTACTCCAGGTATGTTTCTTGCTTGGTTCCCAAGTATGTACAGGCATATCTATCAGAAAGTTTTCTAGCTTATAATTTCATATCCACCTCAGAGGCTCGTTGGCGAGATCAGTGAGATAACATGCAAATAGGCTTTCAGTCCAGTAAAATAGGATGCAGATCGGAGGAATAGTGATGACTTGTGTTAGATGCTAAGGACATGTGATATTTGCAAAGAGGAAATGGGACTTTACACAGCCAATTGTGGACGTGTGGATCTCACTGCACCCAAAGGAGATGCACACTAAAAATATAAATGGGAGGCAAGTGGCCGTTCTCATCCCAGGCGCAGAGGCCATCTGGGGTGACGGCCCTTCCTTCCAGCATAACTCAGGGGAGGAACCCAGCCTCTCACCACCTGTTCCGCCGTGTCAGGGTCAGAGCCCTGGTGGGACCGGCTCAGGCCTTGATTCAGCCCTCCCGGACATTTCTACAGCCTGAGGGAGTTCCCTGCAGAGGTCACTGGGTGCTGGGGGGGGGGTGTGGGGAGGGCAGGGTGGGATTTTGATTGGAGGGAACTATAGCTGGTGGCCCTGCCTCTCAGGCCCCGTCACCACAAGCCAACTGTCAGGGTGGGGAAGGAAACACACCCGGCCAAGTGACATTGCCTGGTATGTGTTCTTCTGGGGTTGGCTTATACACTGGCTTGAGGCTCCCTGACAAAAGTGGTGGGTGACATACGGAGTCCAGTGCTGGCAGACTATCTGGACAGGGAGTCCCTAAGGGTGTATGTGTGAAACTCCACTGCTCCGACGGTCCTTCTATTCTTAAAAAAGAACATAAATAGTAGATCTGGGCAACTGCGCTTTGCAACTTTCTAGTTGAATTTCATGACGTTTTGGGGCTTTAGCTGCTTCATCTACTAAGTGGGGTAATAATATACCTAACCCAAAGGCATACAGCATGCAGTACCTGCTACATGCTAGCCATTCAGTAAGGAAGAGCTACAGCAAAAGTAGCAGCATCTAAAGGATTGGCAGAGAAGAGAAGAGGGACCAAGCAGCCACTCTCCTTGCCCCTCTCCTTGGGGCATTTATCTGAGCGCCCAATAGAGTCCTCCTAGCCATGAACTGTCCCCTGGCCAGCCGGTTTAGCTAGCCGTGTTGATACCTACTGTGTCCCAGGGGCCGTGCTTTGGAGCCTGAGAACAGAGGGAGGGAGAAACTCGGAGTTTTACTTCCAAGAGTTTCATCACACGGAAGACAGGAAGGAGGAACCTGGCTCATTAGAACAATGTGCATCACGTGCAGCAGTCAGCGGGAGTGGAAGGAGGAGAACAGGGAGGCAGGAACGGGAGGCTGCTGGGGAAACAGGGGCGAGGGTCTGGCCAGGCTTCGCAGCGGAAGTGGGGGGCCGTGGTCTTTCACCTAGAAGCGAGAATGCATTCCAACGGAAGGGACAGTAGGAACCAAGCACGACGTGGGATGACAACGTGTTGTGTTTAGGGAAGCACCAGTAGTCCAGCATGGCCAGTGTGAGCAAAACGGATGTGGAAAGGAGGGCTGGAGAGGCAGCCGAGGGGACTGAAGTTTTAGACTTGGGAGCGGCATGACCACCTGTCCATGAGCAGTGCCTCCCTATCCTTCCCCCTTTCGCCCAGACCCCAGGGCTCCTTCCACCGAGCAGAGTGTGGTCACGGTCCCACCCCAGCATCCCCGTGCTAGGGCCAGAGGAGAGCGGTGAGGGGGAAGGTCGGAGACGTGCACGTTGCTGGCTCACAGTAGGATGGGGAAAGCAGGGCTGCCAAGGCCCCCCGATTACCTGGAAGAGGCCTTCCTCGGAGGGCCGCAGCGACTCCCACTCAGGAGAGTCCAGGAACTGGTATGGAAAGATGTAGTGCAGAAACTGCCCATCCTGGCTCACACGAACCCTGGCAAAGGGAGAGGAGAGGTGCTATAGGAAAGGGACGTAAATGGCTGCTCCAGGGACATTTGCTGAAGTCACGTGTTGCTGATTAACATGAATGTTCCAGCAGAAATACCTGGCCTAAAGAGCAGTAAAACCCAAAGCAGAAATAGTGTCTGCTGCATGGACACTGTTTAGAAAGGGACCCATGCAGACTTCCTGAGCCTCCATTTTCCTCTGCCTTCTCCTTACCGGTGATACTCCATTCCAGGCTGCAAAATAGAAGCCCCAAAGAAGCTTTTAAAAAATAGAAGCCCCAGGGAAGCTTTTAAAAACCCCAGGCATGATGCATATACCTGTAACCCAGCACTTCAGGAGGCTGAGGCAGGACTATCACAAGTTTGAATCCAGGCTGCGCAATTTAGCAACTTAGATCTTACCTCAAAACAAAAAATCAAAAGGGGCTGAGGAGCCTGGTGTGGTGGTGCACACCTGTAATCCCAGCACTTGGGAGGCTGAGGCAGGAGGATTGAGTTTGAGGGCAGCCTAGCATACAAAGTGAGTTCAAGACCAGCCTGAACTGCATAAAAAGACAAAAAAATTTAAAAAAAAAATTTTTTTAAAAAGGGGGCTGCAGATGTAGCTCAGTGCAAATGTCCTGGGTTCAATCCCCAGTACTGCAAAATGAAACAAAACAAAAACAACAAAAGTCCCAAGGAGGGTTGGGGCTGGGGATATAGCTCAGTAGTAGAGTGCTTGCCCATTATGTGTGAGGCCCTGGATTTCAACTGTCAGGAGAAAGACAGAGACAGACAGACAGAAAGAGAGGGAGAAAGAAGGGGGAGGAGCAGAAGGAAGAAGAGGGGAGAGGAGAAGAGGAAGGAAGGAAGGGAAGAAAGAAGGAAGGGAGGGATGGAAGGAAGGTAGGAAGGAAGAAGGAAGGAAGGAAGGAAGGAAGGAAGGAAGGAAGGAAGGAAGAAAAAGCAAGAAAGAAATTAAGGACTGGGCTTGTAGCTCGTTGTTAGAGTACACTTGCCTAGCATGTTCATGATTCTGGGTTTGATCCCTAGTACTGCAAAATAAAATAATATAAAAACCAGCAAACCAAAACAAGGCTTGGGCCTTATCACAGAGCAATTAAACAGGAACCTGAAAGTGGGATTTGGACATTATTAGTTTTAAAAATCTTCCTGCTGATCCTATTGTGTAGCTAGGATGGAAACCACCATGCTAGAACTCTACTATTTAAGTTTGTATTCACATTCATTAAAACTAAATAGTTAAAAATCCAGTTCCTCAGTTACACTAACCGCGTTTCAGGGGCTCCATAGCCACGTGTACCTGGTGGCTACCATATTCTACAACATAGAAGGCTTCCGTCATTCCGCTGGATGACACCATTACAGAGGTTCAGCCTCGGGTATCTTCCCCTTTCCCTCTTTCGGTAGGCCACATGAAGAGCCACAGTTTATACACCACATGCTTGCACTATAGCTACTTCGAAGAAAATGGTGTGTCCATTACAGAGCAGCCTCTGTTAGACACTTCACAAGTCTTCTCTTATTTAATCATCAAAATAACTCAAGGGAGATTATTCTTTTCTGTATTTTACAGCTGAGAAAACGGATGCTCAGAAAGGCTGATGGGTGAATTAAGGTTTCATAGCTGTCAAGTGGCAGAACCGAGATGGTCTTTTCACCACGACACCGTTATCAGAGCTTTTGGTAGGTGATGCTGGATGCTCCTAGCATTGTCCCCGCTCCATGCTCAACAACCACCCATAATGTGGCAGTGACAGCTTCTGGTTTTGGACAATAGGAGCCCACGCGCTGTTCCAGGGATGGCCCTGGGCTGGACAATTAACCAGAGCTGAGCCATTCAAACCCTTTCCATGGTCAGTGGAATTGGAATTAGCTGATGTTTTGAATGGGAACAACTATCAGACATTTGCAAAACCCATATACTCCTTGATTAAAAAACCAAAACCTTGTGTTTTAAGTTATATAACTCAGACCTTGTAAAAGCATATAGCTGAACTGGCCATAGGGAAGAGAAACCAGACACCATACAAAATGCTCAGGAGAACAAGTTCTTATTTTAATTCCTACCCGAGGCTCAAGTGTGTACCTTCCCTGGACTTTGATGACATATCCTTGCTTTTTTTAAAACATCCTTTTCTCCCTCCAGCTAAATAGATGAGGGTTGTGTGTCCAAAGCCAGGGATTCTAGTTCATAATTGATATTAATTTTAGGAATATTTTTATTTCCCACTATCAATAGGTTTAATGACTGCTCTTGACTAGTTCATGACCATAGGCTTGTTCTCACAGCGCAGGGGTGGAAGCACTACACTGTACCTGGTTTTCAATCCCAGTGGTCAGCCCCTCATCTGCCGCTTTGCTCCTGTAGGGATGGGGAACTGTACTTTGGAAGAATCTGTTCAAATCCATGGTATGGCACTGACTCCTGTGGGGAGTGAGTGTATTTCACCTATAATGTAGCATCTGGAAAATGACTAGGATCCAGTTTGGGTATTTTCTTTCTCTCCCCAGAAAACTCAGAGATTCATGCTAAGTTGTACCAGGCAAGAAAGTAAGTCTGTCAGGAAAGGAGGAAGAAAAACTTTTGTATCTCTACGGTGTATATGTCTATTTGGCTGAAGACATGCTTGCATTATTTCTGTAGCTTTACCAGCTAAACACATATTCACAGAGCACCTCCTGCATTCCTGGAGGTAGAAGGATAAGGAAATGGGTGCAGTCTGGCTCTTGCCTTTAAAGATTCCACAGTTGAGTGGAAATCACAGGAACATACATAACCTGCTGCGGGTCAACGTGTAAGTGCTGCTGTGGAATGGGAGCATAGCGGTGGGAGAGAAATCCATTCTCTCTGGGTAGGAGACTTCTCAAAGAACATGACATTTGAACATTAGCGTTCTGAAGGAAAAGTAGGATACCAGGAAACAATTAGGGTAGAGATGGACAGAGATCTGAGAAATCCAGTGTGGCAGTCTCTCCATTACCTACTTTTCCTTCCTCCATAGTGCTAGAGGGAGTTCACAGCTAAAGACTACTCCTTACCTCCCTTGCTGCTAGGTATAGCCAAGGAGTTAAGTTATGGTCAATGGAATATTAGCACTCCTTGGTCTTGCTCTTCAAGAATGCCTAGATATACACGTGTGCATGTGTACCGCTGACTCTGAGAGTCTGCCACCGGAAGGAGTCCATCTCTCTGCCTCCTCCACGCACCTGCTACAGTGCACTTACCACACTGACCTGCGCCAGGTTATTTACGTGCCTCTGGTTTCCACTAAACTGTGAAATCCTCAGAGGTAAGAGCCAGACTGTACCCATGTCTGCATCCCCAGACTCCAAGGATGCAGGAGGTTTTCCAGCAGAAGGGTACCTCCCTCCAAATGGATGTGTACGCCTCAGAGATCTTTTTTCCTTCCTCCTTTGCCTACAGAGGCACCTTCTTGCCTCAGATGAATTTTAAATTACCAAAGACCATCACCAGTTAATAGGCTATTGCCCATGACCTGAGCACCTAAAGAAGGAAGACAAGGGGATGCAGGTCTCAAATCAGGTGAAGGGTGGAGCGAGCCCATGCCCTCCAAAGGCAGACATGCTTGCTCCTTCAAGACCCTTCTGAGCAATGACAGAACACAAGGGAAAATGAGGTGCTACATTCTCCTACCTCATTCACGTACGCTGCTCCAGGGGGACCTCTCTCCTCAGGTCTCAGCTTTAAATGCTCCTTCCAGGAAATCCTGTCTGGGAAGGATTTTTCCTTCCAGGAAATCCCCCCACAAAAACTGAGACCCGCTCCTTCATGCTCTGCTTGTGCTTTCCTTTCTCCGTGGAGACACCACATCCACTGTTAACCACGATGACACACATTAATTACTGGCTTCTGTGATAGACGGCAAGCTCCATGAGTTCAAAGACAATAGTTTTCACTTTTAACCCCAGGTCCCTAGTCCCTCACACTCTTGATAAATATTTGTGGAAGGGGGGAAGGCAGAAGGAAGGAAAGAAAGAAAGAAGGAAGGAAGAGTAAATAAACAAACATATTCATTTGTATTACCATAAAAGCAGAATCATAGCCTCAAGAAAAAACTTCTCTGAGAAAGGAAGACACTGGGTTGGGGGCAACCTCCGGGGCATACACACGGCACATCTCCCCCATCTCCTCAGGCGAGGACACCGGCTCTCTGGCAAGTCACCAAGGAGTGACAAAATCCTAGAGTGCTCACAGAAGCCATTTAAGCAGGTTTATTGTGCGCTTTATCATTTGCCTCTTCTTCCTTCTTCGTCTCTTGGGTGACGGGTGGCTTCCTTCTAAGGGAATAGCTTAAGACAGCAACCTGCTCAGGATTGCACTTGTGGAAGTTTGTGCTTTGCATTTTATAGGACAAAAACTCTCCAACAGTAAAACACAGCTTGCTGGGGTGACAGGCTTTGAAGAAAGTCACTTTGTTCTCTGGGTCCTGGAAGAGACTGACTACCCTCATGAAATAAAACAAAAAGACTTCTGAGGTGTGAGCCAAGGGCTCCAGATGACAGTCACACAGGAGACGGGGAGGTGTGTGTGAGAGGCCCCGACTTCCTGGCACAGGGCTCCCTCGGCTCCTTCGAGGTGTCTGAAACTGGGCTGTAACAGCCAGGTCACAGCGACTCTCCCTCACAAGCAGGGCCCACTCACAGGCCAGAAGCCTCTTCCCCTTTTTCTGGGACAGAGTGACACTGAGAGATAACAAAACAATAAACGCAACAAAATCCTTGGTTCAAAACTTTAAAAGCAAAGAGAAAAATCAAAATTGTCTGATTTCTAACATAGGATTTTGTTGCTAAGTTCCTAGAAATGCTACCGGGAGGGACAAGCCCTCCTTTCCCCTCCATAGGGTGTGGCCTTAGACAAGTTTGCCACAGGTCTAGCATGGATCTGCTCTCTGGACCATGGGATAATTGTCACCTGCTTCCAGCAGGGGGGACATCCTCCTTGTCTCCATTCCCTCCTTTGAACCGAGGAGTTAAAAGGAGCAAATGATGTCAGGATTCTCATGAATGAACCAGTTCCCTAGATGGTTTTGAAGCACAGAACTGTACAGGTAGCAAACCTTCTGGCAGGAACCATAGTTCTTGCGGGGGCACTGACACCTGCATCTGTTTACACTTGCAAATGAGATGAAAAGTCTCCCTCAAGCTCTCCCCCCATAGGGGTCATTTGCCCCAGGACCTCTGAGTTCCATAAAAACCACAACTTCTGTACGTAATACTCTGGATTCCATAAATACGTGAATGTGTTTTACTTCTAGCAGCAGTAGTTACTGTACAGTTGTCATCATTATCAACCCTTTCCCCCACTGCGGGCTTGACAGTCTTGCATAATTTTTTCCATTCTCTTTCTCCTCTTTCATTCTTTCCTTTCTTCCTCTCTCCCCTCCTCCCTTTTTCCTATCCTTTCCTTTCCTTTCCTTTCCTTTCCTTTCCTTTCCTTTCCTTTCCTTTCCTTTCCCCTTCCCTTTCCCTTTCCCTTTCCCTTTCCCTTTCCCTTTCCCTTTCCCTTTCCTTTTATTTACTTATTTTTTAAAGACAGAGTCTTGCTATGCACTTCAGGTTAGCTTTGAACTCACTACATAACCCAAGCTGGCCTTGAACTCACAGCAATCTTCCTACCCCAGCATCGTAAGTGCTGGGATTATAGGCATGAGCCACCATACCCGGCTCCTTTCTTTTACTCCCCTGCCCTCCTTTTCCCTCCCCTCCCTTCCCTTTCCCTATCTCTCTCTCATTCTCTCTTTCTTTCTTTGAATCAGAGCCTTCTGATTACCATGTTCTTTTCAGCCACCTTCTTGGGCTCAAGTATGCTGGCAGGTGCGAGGAGGGTAAGCAAGTGCCAATAAAGTACTTCAAAGAATAAAACACAACTGCCCAAGAAATGCGCAGCACAGAACCCTGTGGTGTTTTCTCATCAGCTATCAGTGGCCGCACTGGGCATTCAGGGAGCATAGATTAAGACTACTGCCACCAACATCAGCCTCCACCGAAACCTCCATGAGACACGTGTGGGCATCACTACTCTTCTGCCACTGGGGGACCTCAGAGTTGCAGGACTTGACTTCGCGACCTGCAAGAGTCTCCAGAGAACAAGTGGGAATGGAAAAGCGGGCAAGGGCTATTCCCTCCCACCTTGCTGCGCACGGAGCGGCTACACTTCAGCGCTGGCACACGACATCCCAGACCCACGCTGGGCTGTTCCCTTGACGCCCTGGCAGGAAACAGGATACCGGAAACACCCTGTTTCTGCTCTCATTTCCTTCACACAGTTGGTGCTTACCAAATGTTGAATGCCTATGGAAGGAAAATATTAATCATACTGAAATGTTCAGTTTTCCAAGGCTTACAGAGACATTTGGACATCATGTCCTGGTGTGTGTGTGTGTGTGTGTGTGTGTGTGTGTGTGTGAGAGAGAGAGAGAGAGAGAGAGAGAGAGAGAGAAAGAGAGAGAGAGAGAAACAGAGATTTGGGCTCTGAATCCCACATCTGTCAGCAGCAAGTACACATGAAGTCACTTTTTTTTCAGCCAGAAAGAGGTCCAGTGATCTAGTTTCCTCTTGGAATATATGAAGAGGAAGTAAACTCACTCCTGGAGAAATCTATTTCGGTTTGTTTGACTTGCCACATCCTTCCCTCACTGAAGGGATACGGAATGGAGAGGGACACTAGGAACGAGGAAGTGGGGCTGGGGAAAGAAATGCCGGGTGATGCCACCGTCAGAGCAGCTTACCGGCCTGAGAGCAGCAGGGACAGGCGGTTGATGGGTGTCTCCCCCTCCACGGCATAGGTCTGCTCCGTGGCCAGAGTCAAGACCTGCTCCTGGCAGCAGAGTACAATCTCCTTGTAGGTGTGCAGGGGCACCTGCAGGGGCAGCCACAGTGTCTTGTAGAGGAGGTCAAACTCCTCAGGGAGGGTGTCCATGCGCAGGCGGTAGACCAGATGTGCCAGCTGCAGCAGGCAGGCCACTGCCAACAGGAGACTCCACAGGACGATGTCCAGCCCACAGGCATTGAACCAGCCCCACAGCACGCAGCACATGTAGCCCGTGCCCAGAAAGCCAAAAAGGTAGAAGCATCCATATACTCCGCTGCCTCCCATGAAGCCCAGGAGCAAGAAGCAGTTAGCCAAGTGGTAAACAGCCCCTTCCAGATCCTGCTTCCAGCTCAGACACACAGGCCCCTGCCAGAGGAGCTGGCCCACCGTGCTGCTGTTGGTGCTCATCTCTGGGGTGGCTCAAAGGCTCGCTGGGCTCTGCTGCTGTCCTCAGACGAGAAGCTCAGATGAATTAATCTGTCCTCCCAGATATCTTCTCACCTGCAGCTTCTCACCACCAGCTCCACCTCTGCTGGGAGGAATGCTTCTGGTGGCTTTGGGGATGAATACCAGCACATAGCACACTGCATGGAGAATTTCAAAACTTTCTCTCTCTGCCTCAGCAAGCCTGCGGCTCTCCCTGCGGCAGCCTGGCAAGCTTCCTTGGCTCCAGGTGTCTTAGAACGGTCTTTATATTTGGTTCTTATTGGAAAACCTCAACTGTCCTGAGAGAAAGGAAGGACAATGAGACTGAAAACCTAAGCAGTGTGGGCTGAGGCAGCCACATCCTGCTCCCTGTTGCTCCCAAGCAGAATGCAGAGAGCCCAGCATGGGACGCACACTTGTGTTCCATTTGGAATGCGTTCTCTCTTGGCACCGGAAGAAAGGGTGACCCCAGAGGGTTACCATGTTTGGAGTTGGAATCCAGGAGGTGCTGGCAGTGAGAAAAAACAGGCCAGGCACTCAGGCAGGCTGGCAGAGCACTTAGCATACCTCCCAGAGGACAAGATAAGACTTCAGGCAAGAGAGGCGGGCAAGCAGGGACAAAGGGAAGCAAGCACGGAATTCACCTCGACTCGGTAGGCAGAGAGGGCACTGCGCAGGCCTCCCATGGGGAGGGCCGGAGGGCTCGCCTGCTCCTGCGTAGGTCACACCTAAGGAAGACAGCGTGTGACTACTGCCAGAAAAAGTCCTGGCCATGAAGACTGGAAAACCTCTTGAAAGCTTTGGAAACACTGCAGATATCATTAGGCATTTATCTGACACCCACTCAACAAAAGTAACTGTAAAAGAGCTTTGTGAATTCTACACCAAAGATGTCCTACATGTACCTGGATGGAGTAAGTGAATAAATGATAATCCATTGCTCCTCCATCACCAAATACCCAAATTATAGCATCTACCTATTGAACACCCAGGAAGTGCCAGACCTACAGTAGCATTTTATATCCTTACTCCTTAGTTACTACAAGAGAAACCGGCTCAGAGAGGGAACACGTTTGCACAGGGAATAAGAGACAGACCTAGGATCTGAACCCCAGACTGTCAGACTTAATATTCTGTCCCAAGTGGTTTGCACAGTCAGCGGACATAAAGGACATGATCCACAGCAGTTCTCGTGTGAAGCACAATAACTGAGTTAAGTGTAACGAACAGTAGCAGCTCAGGAGGAAGGGTGACAACGGGGAGGGAGACAGAGGCTCTGGTATTTGGTGAGGCATGGGGTGACGTAGGCAACGGGAAGACGGCACTTCTAGGGGTGAGACCGGACAGGCGCAGCACGAGGCCGTGAACATGTATGCAGATTGAGGGGAGCCAGTTTTTAACTTAATTAAAATCAATTGACCAACAAACGTGCATCCTATCTCCTTTGCAAAGTCAAGCAGGGGCAGAGGAGCATCTGTGGTAAGGAGAAGGGCCAGAGTGCTCAGAGAAGAAACAACCTCAAGCCTCACTTGTGGCTAGGATCTGGACCTTGCCGTCATAAACTTCGGGGATTTCCCTATGACACTTTTACGTCACTTGTCTACCTCCCAACCAAGCCATCCACTTTCCCATGAGGCCGCTGCTCATCTGGCTACCTTAGTCGTGTGGCCCCGAGCTGCCAGAGTAGGTGTCCTGCCGCCTGTGGGCAGGAGATTCAGAGCACAGAAGCAGAGCAGCAACTGACAGGCTCTGCCAAAGATAGAATTTCCCAGCAGGTCATCACTCTCTGCCAGCCGACCCAGTGGCTTGGACCTGACCCTTTAAAGAGACAGGCAATCCATTAACTTCTGTTCATTTGCCCTGGTATACTAATGTTACCAGTTAATGACTCTTTGATTGATCAATATTGTATGTCTCTATTTGTTTTCATGAGAAACAACTTTGAAGATATCAATATATAATGCAAGCATTGTTAATTTTCTACCACTTTGTAACTCTGCATTGTTTGTATTGTTCTTTTGCTATTTTGTAAATGGTTGTCTGTTAATGTTCTCCTCCTTTTATTTTAAAAATTAAAAAAAAAGAATATACTAATGTTTATCAAGCAACTAAGGTTTCCCATGCTATTCTAAGGTATTTTTATTTTTATTGGAAGAAACAAGCTTAGAGAAATGAAAGAACTTGCTCAAGGTCACAGAGCAAGTATGCGAGCGGGGATTAGAGCTTAGGTCAGTGTGAGTCTGAACCATCCTCCCAGGTATTTTGGGAGTCTACCTTTACCTATATACATTTACTGCTACAGGAGACTGGGGTACACTGCTGGTGGCATATATGTCAGAAACACAGTGATGTGACAGCCAGAGGACAGGACCTGTGATCAGAATAAGACAATGAGAAGTTGTAGCTCCTTTATTTTTAAACTCAGATTTGACAAAAGAGGAAAGAAAATTTTAATGTGTATCACAACAGTATGTCCTTATAAGGAAATCCACAAACGTGAAAGCAGAAGTAGAATGGAAAACATCTGGGGAAGAACAAAAGGAAAGAAACAGAAATCATATAACTTGATTCAATTCAATGAGCATTTACTCAGGACAAACTGTGTGTGCCAATAAGGGGATATAAGGATGAGAAAGAGAATTAACATCTTCAAGGAACTTTTAGTGCAGGAAAAACTGCACACCCATGAAATGAGGGTTCAGAGGAAAATACTGACGGAGATGCCAAAGCTTCAGGAAAACATCACAGGCCAGGTGATATTTAAGCTGCTCTAAGATGAGTGGGTACCCTGCAGCCAGGGGAAGGCATTCCAGGAAGGAAGAACAGAGGTAAAGCAAAAATACATGGCATAATGTGGCAGCAGAACAGCTTGTCATAGGTGAATCCAAAGAGCAGCACATGACACAGGAAAGGCAGGCTGGGGCCAGACTGCAAAGTCAGCTGGCCATACAGCACCTCCCAGGTGTGGTCAGGAGCCGACACTGGTCTCCCAACCGGCCCATGCTGAGATAAGGACAGAAACTGAGAGTAAGTGTTTAGACATCTTTATAGCATTTTAACAGAGGAACTTAAAACCTCCAAATTTAGTAATCAAAACTTTGGGTTTAAAAGTGTCTTTCTAAAACACATTTTAAAAAAAAAAAAACTTCATTTTTCTATTGGCTTGTGGTCACTGGGAAAAAAAGCTAGTTCTTCATCACACATAGCTTGACATTGGGCTTGAGATTGTTTTCCTAATACAGTTATTAAAGTAGTATAGAAGCATGCTTGTAGGATGTAGACACAATGTCAAATTGATCTTAAGCAAATAGGTTCTCTCCCTATAGTCATTCCCTGCTTTTCTTTAGTTTAAGAAAAACTATATATACTCGATATACTGTTTGGGCAGTATATCAAGGAAGGTGGGTTTCTCTCCCAGTTGCCAGCACCAGAAAAGATTGGTGAAGCCCAAGTAGAGTATCTCATTAGCTCCATGGCTTAAAGGTGGACACCTAACCAATGAGATGGAAGAGGGGGCAGGGGAGCTTTTGGGAAAAGGTACATATGCTGATAGAAAGGCAGCCCATGGGGCTGGGGATTTAGCTCAGGGTACGGCACCTGCCTGGCAAGCGCAAGGTCATGAGTTTGATTCCCGGTACTGGAAAAAAACAAACAAACAAACAAAAAAAAAAAGAAGGGCAGCCCGCAATCTTTCACCTAACTTGAATAGAGCAGTGATGATGTAAGCTTAAAGTTACCATAATCATGAGACAGGATAAGCCTAAAGAAAAGGATCAAAAGCAGACAACACAAGTCTATGTGCTTGAAAGTATCACTGAGTTGTCCTTACAGCATGGAAGTTTCACTGTCCAGACTTCACGACAGGGTAGTAAATTATTGTACATTGCTGTAAGGCTTCAGTGTAGCTGGGCTCTCTGGTATAGCACCAGAAGTGGAATGCATCCTGATTCAGATCTCCTTATCTACACAACACTGAACATCAGAGGGCAGTGGTGCATGCTTGTTATCCTGGCTACTTGGGAGGCTGAGGCAGGAGGGTCACACATTTGAGGCCAGCCTAGGCAACTTAGTGAGACTTGGTCTTTTTTTAAAAAAAAA